GAGTTTGCAGAGTGCCTTAGGCACTAAGTTGACCTTTAGTACGGCTTATCATCCTCAGACTGACGGATAGTGAATTCTCTATTGACCTAGTGCCCGGCACGGCGCCGATTTCCATGGCACCTTATCGTTTTGCCCCAGCCGAGTTAGTTGAGTTGAAGATCCAGCTCCAGGAGTTACTAGACAAGGGAAATATAATTATTATAACAACAACAACAACAAACAAACAACAACAACAACAAAACACGTTCAACGAATAATCAATAATGACGATGAGAACTACACATAGCTGTGCCCACACGCGCTTCCAATCTGACATTTGCAGGGGTAGGCTAAAAAATTATATAATTAATTTCATGTTGGGTATATTTGGATAGAAGTTTATATTAATTTAATTAGTGGATTAATTTATTATATTAATTATATTACAAAATTGGGCAAAGTGTAATTATGTCTTAAAATTTATTAAGATAAGTATAAATCTATATAATTTATGAAAATCAATTGGGAAGATACGCGGGCCCACGTTCTTATCTTTCTTCCCTTATAAATAGGGAGGAGGTTGATCAACTGGGCCGAAAGAAAGAAGAAAAGAAAGGAAAGAAAGAAAGAAAGAAATGAAGGAAAAGGAAAAAAAGAGAGGAAGGAGAAGGAAAGAAACGAAGAAAAGGAGAAAAAAAATAACGGAAGCCGAGAGGGTTTTGATAGTGGAAAAATGAGTGAGGTATTAAAGTTTAGGTGAGTTATATTATACCTGGAGTTACCAACGTATGTTTTGATTTACAATATTTTATTTTATACAAGTTACTTTTATATATTATTACAAATTATAATTAATATTTCAGTCACATGGATTAATTTCTAAAACTCTATTTGTTTAAATGAAACCCATGGATATATTTTGTTATATTTTAAAGAATATTTGACTATAACTTTATAAACAACTATGTTTCGTAAGTACCACCACGGGAGTCTCATGCCTTGGGGACTTAAATAACCATTGGCTTCTGTTTGATCACTTTGTGACCCTCTGTTGTCATGGATCCATTGACCTCTGTTTGTACAGAGTGAAATAGCTGCTGTGCGGAGATAAGTGCTACACCATGTTGTGAGCACCTCTATGATCGTACGAGTCACCTCTTGAATCTGTACCTCTGTTCTGACTGTCACTCCTGTGACCTCTGTTCTATTTCTGTTCGGGTACCATGATATTATGGTTTATTTATTTACATAATCTCAGTTTTTGCTGCTTAAATGATTATTTGCTCAGACTAAATTATCTTAAATATTTTAGTTACATAACTATCCATGGTATTTTGTGTTCCTTATACTCTTGGTATAATATTTCTCACTCTGACATGTGTTTATAGTTGTTTTACCAATTTTCAAGAAACAATGCAATTCAGACATAGTTTTTGGAAAGTCTTAGACGCAGGGCTGCGGAATAGACATACAAGCACTTTTATAATATTTTTATTATATAAATATCGGCCTTTTTGGTCAATAAATTTTGTAATAAAAATAGGAAGCTCCCGATGATTATTTTGGTACCCTCACTTAAATATTTTTTCCGCTCGCGTTTATTAATTTATTTAAGAATTGGCCGTAGGTAAGCTCAGTTACTGGCCATCGCGATGCTTAACCCTTGGGTACGGGGAGCGGATCGTGACATTTTATATATTTTATATTAAATAACAAAAATCAAAAAAAAGTAAAAAGTTAATTTTTAATCTATTTCTCAAATAGCAATAATAAGCCAACCATAGACAATACGCTATATCATGGCAAACTTACAAGTAGTCAAAATGAAATGACTCCAAGAGTAAAGAGGTTAAAGAAAACTAATATCCTACAAAGAATTGTGATGCAGAATTGGATATATATCCACAATATATTAACCCAAGCAAAAAGATAAATGGCTGAAACAAGAGAAAATAAAGGGAAAGAAAAGAGAGAGAAAGTTTCATGATTCACAGGTTATGAAACATTCAAACATTGGCTTAATTATGTTCTCTATCGACCGGTCTCACGCAACAATAATAAGTGACCTCATTGGTGAACTCGAAGCATCCTTACTTGTTGAACAATCAGCATCACCTAGATTCGTTTTGCGAAAAACAAGGCTGTTTAGGCCGAGGCAATACACCCTCACCATCCAACATCAAATCACTGATGACATATTCGGCCTATCTTCTAGACACGTTGCACACATAATAGACTTACATGATTGATCCTTAGTATTTTAGATAGATAACTTGAGTTCCTTAAAGATGCATCAATTAGTTCTATGACTCTCCTTCTCTATAGAGAATCCACGCCTGAACAACATCAAGATGATATTATCAGATATATATTAAAAACAATCATAATGTAAAATGTTAAAACATTTTAGTAGTATATACTAGACTAAACTCCGGTGCCCAGTTGTGATGGTAATCTACAAGAACGAAACCTCGTGTTTCTTCCCACTAATAATCTCCCAGCACCAAAACACAAAGACTAAATACATCCGATTTTACTGAGAAATACCCATTGCACTGCGTACTCTGGAGACATATAGCCACTGCAACAAAATAAACATTGAAGGAACATAAAAGAAATAAGTACAAGAAAATTTATTTGCATAGAGACAGTTATAGATATTATTACTATGTTCCAACAACTCTGTTTGTATTTGCTTTGTTTTCGTTTCCTCCAAAACTTTTGGCCAAGCCAAAGTCTGAAAATTTTTGGGTTCATGTCAATATCTAGCAATATATTACTAGCTTTTGGATCCTATGGATAATTTTCAGTCTGAATCTTGATGAAGATACAAAAGCCCTCGGGAAATTCCATTAATAATGTGAAAGCGCTGACCAGTCCAGTAATGTGCTTTGAGTTTGATCTGTTCAACATTTTTGCTTCATTAAACCAAGCTTTGCTAACCGAATTCCTTGAATATAACTAGAAATTAGTTTTTTACAAATCAACCAGGATTTTCCATGCTAGCAAATTCTTGCAGCCGCTCATGTAAAGAATTTGATATAGAACATCAATGATATCTTCAAAAAAACACAATAGTTTAAATATAACAAAAAATATTTAAAAACAAATCACTTTTTGGAAAATTACTTCATTTCTCTGCATAGATGAGACACCACTTGACCATTTTTGGTAAAATTTCTATTGAATCCATGGGCTGAATGCTGGGCATAGTACTTCATTTCTACTCAGACTTGATCCGCCTTTACCTATATGAACAATTGCTATCGAAACCAAAGACTAAAAAATCACTCCAACATTGGTGATGAGAGTATAATTAATCCATAGATACCAGGTTCACTGCCTCCCCACACTTATGTATCCATGGGGTTCATTAGCTCCTTCTCCATATGGATTATGGATATTCCACAATACCAAAAAGGGCAAAAGCAACATGTAGACACCCCATTTTGACCGACCTTAAGATTCAGACGTCACCAGTTGAGGCGCTCGGTGATGTTGCATATTGTTGCTCGTTCTGAGGTTTTCAGAGTCTCGGCTGCGAACCTTGCCTCCGGACTTCGGGCTCTTTTTGTGCTTGCCTCGGTTGCGAACTAGGTCCTGTTTTCTTTGTTTCCTCTTCCGAAGAGAGGGAGAGGTCTCATAGACCATCTCTCAGTGGCCGTAGGCCACGTTTCGTGGTCGTAGGCCATTTTTCCCGTTGGAGTCCAGTTTCCGATTTTCGGAGCCGTCGGCCGTGTGCCTCGGTTCGGGACCGCCTTAACTACCTCCGTTTGCTCCGGTTTTTGTCACACACCTTATTTCCTCCTTTAGAGGGACACTGTGGCCCAGGAGACCACCTTCGTAGTCATACGCCACTTCCGGTGCTTAACAGCCTATTTTCAGGGCCTCAGACCGCGCGTTTTGGCCCCCAAACCTTCGTTTTGCATCCGTTTTGGTCATTTTTGGTAGAAACCCTATTTTCACTATTAGGGAGGGGGTAGTATGGTGGCCGGCCACCTTTTCCCCTGAAAAACCAGTTTTCTCTTTTTCTCTCTCCAAAAGCCCTTTTTTTTCTAACAGAAAGCTGGTTTTCTCACTTTTGAGCCACAATTTTGGTTTTTCACAACCAT